TAATGTCTTGGAGTCCAGTGCCATCTGTCAGATACAGTTGCTGTGGTTGCTGCCTGACGACGTCTCTGTTGTAGTCATATTTAGGAGATAAACCAGGTAGTATCTTGTTTGTATAGTCTTTGGGATAGGTGATAGAGTGTGACTTCATGGCTGAGCTGGCTTGTTATTTCGGGGTCACGTTACAGCTCAACCAGCCATTACATTGCTACTTTCTGAAGTCAGCCGCTTCTCCGAAAGGATAATTTTGAGAAAGATTTTGCTTTGTGAACAGTTTGTTTATTTAATTCAGGTCCCAATCCTATCACCATAGTAGCTCTGCCTGGGCTGAACTTTGAACAGCAGAATAGAGAGGTCTGTCCTCCGATTTACTTCTCAATTAACCTCCACACTTTCCAACCTCTTTTTCCCTCTTTCCGTCTGACCTTCTCACCCCTTTCTCTGTTTTTATATCCCTTCCCCCCTCTTCCAAACACAGGAAACATGTGCTGGAAAAGCCAGCTTGTGTGTCACTCTACTTTAAAGTGAGAGTATCAAGCAGGAAAATAAATACGGGATATAGAAAGTAGTAGCAGAACAAAGTAAAAGAAAATTGGCGTGGTTGCATAGCCGGGTTCTGGCTGATGTCCATGCTGATAGGGTGGCTTAGGCCCAGACTGCGAGGACGTTAGCGTTTCAAAAAAGACGCCTCTGATACTATCACATGTTATCGCTGTGCTATTAGACTGCCAGGGTTATGATTGTTGCTTTGATTATGCTGCACAGGGTGTGAGGCACCACTCTTGTATTTCCTATCCCTCACTAAATAATCGTTTGGAAAGCCCAAAAAGATTAGTGTGCGCCCACTAAGGCGACGATTGTTTGTTTGACTCACTCTTGTTATCACTCTCCCGCTCTGGTCCATTTTCTGTGCTCTTTGATTTGCCTCCAACCAGCTCAGGCATCTCTCTGTATACGCCGGTCGCTGATCTCTCACCTGTCTAATCCTGCAAAGCTGACAGAATCGTTTCCCCGACAGAGACGCACTTATCCACCGAGCTCTGTAACTGTGTATCTTCATTTCCAGCCTACAAGGAGGGCACCAACAGATGATCAAAAAGCACAAGCAGGGTAATAATAATGTTTTAAAACTATGATCTTCTCTTACAAGTGGTCCATTGTGGTGCACGGGCTGTCAAATGTTGGAGCTGATTACATAAAGGCGTACATCACTCCTTTAATCACACATCAAAGACTCATCATTGTCATGGCGACAGGTTGGCCCGTCCCATCTTGTACACTTCAAAGAGTTGGAAAAATTTCACACACATGTCACACAACTACCTCACTTTGTCTCTACACATAAACCGACACACACAGACAATTTAAGTGCCTCAAATCAACAGCGCAGATACCCCTCAGTGTGTAAACTGATATCAGTATGAACAACTTAAAACGCCACACATAGGTGGGCAAGCGTCTAGATGAAAGTAAGAGATTTCCCAACAAGTCTTAACGGCGTTTGTTCTAGTAAGATCCTGAGTGGAGATTTATCTGGTGGAATGTAGGGGGAAATCGCAGCCTGCATATTAAGCAGCCCGGCAAGGGGAAAATACGATACAGAGGACAGATATGTTTAGGTGGTGGGGGGGCGTTAAACATTCCTATAAAGTTGCTGTGGGGACAGGCAAGGCTGTGTTCCACGACCGTGTCCACATGCTGACAGCTTTACGCCTGTGGTCCTGTACTTTAACTGCTGCCTTGGATAAACCCAAAAGCCATCGACTCTCACCGCTTGCTGTATAAACGAAGAGAAAATCTGGCCTGGACGGACTGAAGCTTAAAGCTCAGTTAGGAACAATTTAGGAGAATGAATACTGTAGATAAGAATATTACAATATATATGACACTTTTGATTGAATATTGGCAATAAATGTCTTTATGTCTCCACCCACAACAGGTGCTCTGTCTAAAAGACTTGAGATGGTCACGCTGGTTGAGTTTGTTGACCTATGAACTTCCCTCATAACCCCTGTTAAAAAGCACACAGCTTGTCTTTCCTCAGTCCACCTCTCAGGTCTCAATCACAGAAGAGGAAACACTGTTGGTTTGGGGTTCACAGAAAAATGTCTCATGCTGTTTGTAAGGTTAAAGGGTCAATTCACCCAGAAGCATATTTTATCGCCTACCCCTAGTAGGTAGGAAGCCATGCAGGTAGTTTTGGTTTTGTTTGACCAGGTTCTGAGATATTGATCTCTAAGAATATCTATTGTAACAACTCCAAACAATAATAATAATAACAAAAAAACTCTGAACAGTCTCGAATATACTCCAAAACAGAGGCGCACAGACTGCTGCGGACCCATTGGAGTCTGCTTTGAGTTCATGTTTCCCACAGTGTAATGGCGAACAGTCAGCATGGTCACAACAAACTGGCAGTACGTGGGTGTCTGCACAGAGCTTACACTTACACCCTCTACTGACAAAATTGACATCACTCTTACACTTGTGCAAGTATGCAAGTGTCCACTAGTGCGGAGAAAGTATAATTCCTGCTTTACAAGGTAGTTTTCCAGGCAGACTCAGACTGGCCATCGGGAGCATTTCCAATGGCCTGGCAAGTTGATTGTCAGGTCAGTGTTAAAAATGTTAAATGGGGAAATCAAAGAGAACCACACAGGGCAGCCACAGTCCCTCAGAACTGTAGACTGTCACCAGATTTTTTGGAGTTTGACTACGTTATATGGTTTGTTGATCTGACTGGTTGAAGTTCACAAGACGGTGAGAGACACCAATCACCTGCCGAGTAGAGGTGAGATTTCAAATAGCACTCTTGACTCTAAGTGACTGAGTGTGAAGGAGAATCTACGATGGCCACAAAACTTGCAAGAAACACAAGGCCCTATCTAGAGCCACAGTTTGGTGTGTTTGTTCTGGGTTACTGTAGAAACATGGCAGTTCAACTTGGCAGACTCTGGAGAGGACCAGCTCTCTTTGTAGATAAAAAACAGCTTATTCTAAGGTAATAAAAACACAATTCTCATTTTCGGGAAATTATACACTAATGAAAACCTACCTATGAATATTATAATCCATTTCTGCCAATAGATCCTTGTAAATGTTACAAAACAGACCTCTAAGGATCTCTGTGTTGCATTGTAAATAAAGTCTACCAGTCAAATGCACAGGAGGCCGACCATCAAAACACATCTTTCCCAACATGTGCTGACCTTTATGGTCCATACACAGTCCTTAACCAACCTCTCCACACCACTCTCTCCGTCCATTACCACCTCTCATCCCACTTGCACAGCATCACAGTGAGACCATCCAAGCCCAGCTTTGATGACAGTATTAAGTGTTTCTAAGTGTAGCTCCGTAAGCGTAGCTCCCTGTTTGCCTTGATCCTGTTGATATGTAGCAATAGTAGTGGCATTCTGCACCCCGCAGGTGTTAATTTTACACATGTGAAGTAGTCACTTTTAAACCTGATCATGGTTGTGAGGTATAGATTGAAAAGTAAGAACGCACAAACCAAATAAATATACAATAGCACAAAGTCCCAGCTGATGAACTAATATACATTTGGTCTATATTAGCAGGCTACTTTTAGGCTAGGCATTTTGATGAGGCTAAAGTGCACACTTCTTGTGAGATGTGCTGGAATTAGCAGAAACCAGGCAAACAAATTGTCTTTCAGTCAGTTTTTGCAGTGTCTTCCCACCTTCCCTCCCTCCTCCCTTTTTCCTCCCCTCTTGTCTTTTCACTTGAGCTTCTCAAAGCAGGAGAGCTGCACAGTGAGTGGATTTCAAAAGCAGCAGTCTGATGGGGCTCTTTATATGAAAGAAATAGCTCCAGTGTTCTCTTAATGGATGTTTTTTTTCAATGGGCACTTCTCAGAATACCCTCCCTTGACTTTCCTCTTCACTCTGTGATAATGGTTCATTCTGTCCTTATTAGTCAAAAGTGGTTCCTACCTCCTCTGTAGGATGAATGAAGAGGCAAGTTGTGAACATGCCAAATTCCCCTAAAAAAAAATCAAGTTGTAACTAATGGTGATAAAATGGCAAGTTAACAAAAGGACAGAAAAGAAAATTCAGCAAGAATCTTTGTGCCTTTATCTGGATAAACCTTTATTTCAGAATCACAAATATTAACATTGTACCACAAATGCGTTGTGTACTTATTTAAGTTTTTTTTTTATCATTCACTAAGTTCCTGTAATGCTACCATGTGAGAAGAGTGTGTTTCCTTTTATTTGCACAGAGAACAATGGTCTGGTTGCATGCTGTTCTGGTATCAGTGCAGGGCTCAGATATTTGAGTATAAATAGCGTGAAAAGAGGAGTTGTGCCAGACAGGAATGTCCTCCTCAAGGGCATCTGTTGGACGATGCCCAGCATGCCATGATGGGTGTTAAAAATTGCTGGAGAGCAGCCAAAAGCAGGGGGAAAAAAGGGGGACTGAAAGAGAAAAAGAGTGAGAGAAATTCCTCTACGGAGACTCTTGTCTACTGTGCATTTCTCCTCCCTGCTCTATTTAAGAGTGAAGAAAACAAGACAAAGAGAGAAGGACAAGACTGACAGATCTATGAGGCAACAGGTTGATACAGAATTAATGTAACCCAAAGCTGGAGGATAAATTGAAATACAAAATGGAAAAAGGGAGAAAATACTGAGGCCTTTAGAGGATATGAGGGAGGAAGCAAGCACGGAAGATATCTGATTGGCTGGAGGCAAAGACGCAAAAGGGGACAGAAGAGGTGAGAGAAACAGAAGATGGAGACGTTATTTCTCGCTTCTCGTTAGCATGACGCTCTTCCTCCTCTCCTATCTTCTCCTTTCACTCTGACCTACTTGTCCTCTGTGAGATACACAGACGATGACCACACGTAACAAAGCAGCCCTCACTTCCCCTTTCTCTGTCATTACCTCATCCTGAATGTTCCGATTCCTCTGTTTTGCTAAGCCTCTTTCTGTTCTCTCCCAGAAACTTTTGTTTTTGTATGAAACACTGGGACAACTGGCAGCTATTCTGAGCGGCCATCACCTGGATATCAGAGACATAAAATGCACCGCTCAGGAATGGAATCTGGGCAAATGACCTTATAAAATAACATGCCAGATGAGCTTTCAACAGCTCCTTCTCACTTCTCAAAGAGAAACTCTTCTATGCCACGGCAGAGCATAAAGCGATTAAGCAGGTATGTCAGGTATTGTAGAGTGATTGTGTGTCTGTGTGTCAGAGAGGAAGCCCGGTGCATCTGCACAGCTGTGTATCTGTATGAATGCTAGTGAGCTGTATGCAGCCACAGTAGCCTTGTTGTAGCAACAGGAGCTGCTGTCAGTCGCATGGTGACCCCACTATTTTGCAGGGGTCAGAGGTGAGAGGTCAATGAGGTGACACTGGGATTGTTGGGAAATATAGGGAGAACCGGCCGGCCCGGCCCCATCACGGCCCCGACATGAAAACAAAAGGCTGTGACCTCATCCCCTGGGAAGTTTTTGGATGCAAGCAAAGTTGCTGATTTGGATTTTAAATCAATAGGGAAGAAAAACTTCAGCTATAACTCATTAGGCTCCTGGGGAGCTGAAAGAGACACTGAAGACATGTGGTCATTTTGCTACCTCAGTGAAAAGCAAAGTGAGAAATGACCACAAAGCAGAGTCATCGGTGCATTCCAGGGTGACGGGATATGAATCACAATGCTGATACTGTGGAGACACCCTGTAACTTCTGGCAATGGTATTATAATTCAGAACAAGGAAGTTATTGCCAGTAATTTGAACATTTGAGTGTTTGTGATTATGACAAACACCAGAGAGGTCACTGGCTGGGTTGCAGCAGGAGGGGTGATAGTTGATGGTGGCGGTGCCGTCTCTGGTGCTTGAGATTTCACAGCAGCAGTGAATTCCTGGGCTCCGGCTTGTCACAGACGAGGGCCCCCGGCACCAAACAGCCACTCTTGCTGCAAGGGCCACGCAGTCGCACAAAGGGACCTCTGTAACTCCAGCGAGTCTGTAGAAGTTTGCTTTTGATCTCTCATCACGCGAAGTCACACTCCAGAATAGAAATAAGAAAAACCTTACATCATCCTTGGACGATCTGGCGTCTGCTTCTTCTGTTTTGTTTTTTGGTGTTGTTGTCAAAAGCTATTTTCAGCGGCGGAGGCTTCAAATTTGATCTCCACCCACTGAATGCACCTCTTGACTTCGAAGAAAATGAGTAAAACCGGAACACTGGTGTAAGAATAGAAAGACAGACTGAATAAGGACAGAGACAGAGAGAAAAAAGACCTCTGTTGCCCTCCCGTGCTATTAGCGATCGAGCAGGTCAGAGAGGCCATACTTTACAAAGTAGCATTCAACAGTGCTGTGACCCACTAAACAAACAGGTGTTCAACAACAACAACATTACCTGACTCTCTCTCTGTCTCTGCCCCCAAAATTGTTGACCTTCACTCCCTCAAGCCCCCCCATCTGTAACCTCTTTAATCCTCCAGGCTCTTTCCACCGTGGCCCTCTTTGGATGCACATAAATCTTCACGAGACAACAGACCAGATAATTGATGTCTAGCAAGCCTCACTGACAAATATAAGGCAAACATGAAATAATGTTAGTTTTAACCCGACATGTATGATGTTGGACTGATTATTATTGTTAAGTTAACACCTCACACCTCACAAAGTCACAATTCAATTTAGTTTTTTGGTCAGAAATGTAATGCAGTCTCACAAATCCCCGCATACCAGCATGCAGTAATCAGTGCAGTGACCCCTTTGTATAGGAGCTCTGAGGTTAACCAGTAGACTTTCGTGACTTCTCTACCCATTACACCACACGATGCCACCTTGTAGTACCAACCGCAGTGTAACACAGCTGTTAAAAAAGAGCATGCCACCCATACTTAAGCCTGGCACCCACAACCAAATCATTGTGTGCCTCACCAGAGCCTGATGAGACTATTTGTTCTCAGGCTGGGAACAAGAGATGAAAAGAGACAGACAACGGAAATAAAAGAACTGAATGTTGCCACTGCTGCCAGCAAGTCAGGGATTTGATATCGCATCTTTCTGTGTTATCGCAGGGTGGAGATCGACATGGAGAGAGGGCGAGCGAAGAAAAAAAAGAAAAAGAGAGAAATGAGAGAGAGAGAGCAGTGTGGACATGCCTGCTGTTTACTATCTCTATCTCTCTTATCCATCAACTCTGCAGCAGCTCACCCAGAAGGACAGCTTGCCACCAAACCAAGGCTGTGGCAAATTCTTCAAATACACACACACACATGGTATAGATACGAACATCTCACAATAAAGAGAAGGATAATTTTGCTTTCAGCAGTCTTCTTTAACTTGTCTGATGTTTAGTGCAAACAGGTGAAATCCTGCCAAGCATCCTTTCTCTGCCTTTACAAACTGAATGATTCCTGATTGATCTGATTGATCTGATGGCTTGAAACCGGTAGTCTTATTAAATTGCATATTTTAAATACAGTGTATGCCAGTTGTGTGTATCTCTATACTGAATCTCTTTATTCTCCCTCCTGCTGCCCTCTTTTCTTTATCAGCTTCTTCTTTGTGGTTGGGCACTCCTGCACTCTTCCTCATCTCCCCCACTTTCTCTCTCTCACGCTCTCTCACTTAACCTCTATCTCATCCTGCCTTCCTCTCTTCTTACATATATTACACGTTTACATAGGAGGCTCGGAGCCATTGTCCTAATTTGCTCTAAAACGAATATCTGATGCCTGTAATATCATCAAATTATCAAACGCATTAACTTTTTCCTGCTGCGCTATTGGTTTCCCCAGTGCAAACATACTATCATTGTCATTCTCTGGCTCTCATATACACACGAGCCCCTCAGCATTCAATGTCTCGGATGAACTTAGAGCTGAAATGCACACTTGTGCCATTGGCATAAGAGCAACAAAGGTCTACACAGGCCCTGTTGTCCTGGGACAGTAAGGTAGTTATCTGTGCCACAGTGGGAACATAAAGCAGTCAATAGATGAATGCTATCTTTATATCTACTGCACCAGAGGTGATTTGAAACACTGCCACTGGACGTCATAGAGCCCCACTCTGAAACACAGCCTTTGAAGCACTGACAGCGCCGACAGAATCAGGCCAGCTCTTTGATACGGGTGGTGGGGAAAGGAAAACTTGAGCGTTAAAAGGGAGCATTATTCAGTTACAGCTCCATTAAAAATGTTGAACTTTGAGGATGATAGGACGAATAAAACACACTGGCCAGAAAAGTTTTATTAGACGTGGACAGAAAGCAGTTTTTGAGCCACCTTGGTATGATGTTTTTGGGGTTTCACTTACAGAAGACAGATTACATTGGTTAAGTTCTTTTCAGGCAAGTAAATATTTGCAGTATATCATTATTTTGGTCTTGTTTTATATTCTGCATTTACATGTTGAGTTAATGGAGGTGAAATCTTTTAAATAAACACAATTACTGTGTACCACACAGGCACAGTAATCACTAAAGTGATTCTAAATTGGGAACTTGTGGTGTTATTCTTTGTTTAATCAAAAGGCCTCAGCTATAATGAAGTCCCTTGTTGGACCTGTTTGGGCTTGAGGGAATTTAGCTATCTACCCCAAATTCTGTTTATTTTACTCCAGCTTCCTGTTTTCCTATCACACATCATCTAAATGCTCTTTCTCACTTCCTGCCCGCGGGACTGCAGGTAAACCAAAACATTACGTCAGTGAGGAACTCGCGTCTCGCCACTTTGGGCCCTGGAGGGCTTTTTTGCAGAGAACGATAAACACAATGGCTGGCAGTGGGAGAGAGAGTTAATTACTAAAGCTGATTCACTCACTAATGACTGTTTCACTTCTGTGGGGTGTTTTTAATGGGATTCAGGAGTCAGCCTGAGCAACAGCACAATCTGTTTTTAATGGGAACTTTGAATAGTTAGAGTTGATGCTGTCAGAGACAAAGCCACTGCTTTTACTTGTGGTTCACAGTGATCTCATTAGGGGCTTGGTAATAAAAGAAAAATAGAGTGATTAGATCAGGAGGAACATAGGAAAAAAATGACATTATCAACGGTTTTACACTACTCAGAACACACCCCAAGGCCTTGCTTTCACCTCAATCACACTCAATCCCTGTTGTTGTGCTATTACAGAATAAACTTTCACTGAAGCTTTGATTCAGTCTTCCAAAATGGGGCAAAAGAAAATATTTAGCTTGAGTTTGAGTGCCTTACATATATAAAGTAGAAAGCATTATTTCCTAGACTTTGTGTTTGAACTATATGTGTGCTATAGCTTAAATATGAGCATTTGGAGGCCAGTGAGGGGGTGTTAAGGGTCTAGGTGAGGTCATATACAATGTGCATGCCAATGGAACCTCTGATATAAAATGGAGAGTCCTTCACATTCTCCTGAAGATCCATCATATTTCCTGTTGAGGCTCATCACTGTTGTGTCATCAGCAAACTTTCGGTTGGAGGAGCTTTATCGTACCTTTTTGACACTTGAATATCCTGATCAAAAAGCGTCTTTGTTAATCAGTCTGTCCAATGTGTGAAGAGAGCCCAAAAGGATTTCATCCCTCCATCAAACTCCCAGTAAGCCAGTTATTGTAAGTAGTAACTAACTGTAACGTAATTACACATTTCACATTGCAAACCCTTACACTACTGATTACTGTAAAATATTCCCCTGTCTCAGTTTATTAAATGAATGAAGTTCCATTTGACAATGCATTCAACATTTTAAGCGCGTTACGTGCCTTAGAAAGAAGGCTCAGTTGAGTAAAAGTAGAGAGGTGATTAGCAGTGTAACAATAGAGAGTAATGACAAAGCATTGTATGTTTCACTGTGACCCCCTGTGTGTGAGTGTCCATGGCTACAATGAGAGAATGGCAGAGAAAAGGAGGCTCTAGTCTCAGGGCTCTCACCCTGGAATTATCGCCTTAGACCCCTGCTGCACAACCAGGGATTAGTTAGCTCTTTATAGAGACCACTTCCCTCCACGCCCTGCAGACCCCACCCGCTGCTCAGCACTTGTTCACAGCATTGCACAATACATGTTCAGTGAATACATAGGTCGCATACACATATGCTCAAACAGACTCGCTCATCTACCTCCTCTGCCCTGTTTACACCAAGTGCTCAAGTATGTCACTTCACACGTGGCATTAGAATGTGTCTCTACATGCATCTCGAGTGACCACTTGTGATTGGATCTGACATATATCAAAGATCAAATGTGTTGTTATCTTTAACCTGAATTTGAGGAATTTATGGTTTATCAGATCACAAATGAGACAAAAATTAGGTTAGAGAAATTATAATTTACTTTGTCCAATTGGTTTGTTTTTTCAATACAAGCAAAACTATTGACATTCCCATCAGCCTCAGCTGTACTTTGTGTTTAGTGCGTATTAGCAAATGTTAGAAATGGTGATCATGGTAAACATTACCTGGTAAACATCACCATGGCATTAGCATTTAGCTCAAATCATGTGCCCAAGTACAGCCGCACAGAGCTGCGAGCATAGCTGTAGACATCTTACAGCAGGACATAGACTGCAGCAGAGGCAATCCTGGGCAGCTACTAAACAATCTACAAAGACTTTGATAGCTGTGTGTGTCTGCTGCCGGGTCGAGCTTAAAAAAGGAAGGGGGAGTGAAAGATGAATTCCTGGACGCTGAGCACATGTTCTGTTCTGCCCTCCTTTCTCCGTTAGCAGGTCGGAGGTGTCAGTCATTTATGTTTGAGTGTACGTGCATAGCTGCCTTCCACAGTGGCCCTCAATGATTTACACCTCCAGCTCTGCACGACAATGAGTGTGTCATTTAAAATAGCAGGTGTTCACATGCTGCTTAGCTCATGGAAAGCGAGTTAAAGGGGGGGGGCAGAGGGCTGTATGTGAAGGGAAGGAGAAGGGGGTATGACTGAACCTGAATTAAACTCATAAATGGTGTAGTCAAACTGGCATGCAGGTCACTGAGTTTCCCGACCACTGCTGGGCCTGTTTCTCATCCTGCGACTATAACTTTGCCAGGCAGCTTCCAGCAGCACTGGTAGCAGTTATCCAGTTGCTGTTATTAGCTTTGGTGAAAGTAATGTCAGAGATATTCAGGTCAGTCTAAAACCACTGAATATAAAGCATTGGGGTTAGTGGGGAACTGTGCATGCATGTGTGTGTGCATAAGAGAGCTTCTGTCTCTGCACACTCTGCACACTGCAATGACATCATCTTACTGAGCAAAGAGAAACGTGCAAAACTGTGTGCAAATTCAAACAGACAGAGAAGATGTGAAAATACTACAAAAGCAGTTTTAATGGCTTTTATTTTTCTGCTCAGGAAAAAAAACAAGAACGAGGGTGGGAACAAGACTTGAAGTAGGTTAGACTAAGTTAGAATAAGACATACAGAGAGAAACCCTCATGTTGAATAAAAAGAAAGATAAAAGCAAAAGAGAGAAAACTAAAAAGGATTTACTCTTTTGTGAGAACTGACAAAGAGAACAAATGGGGTGCTGTGAAGTCTGAGATGTTAACAGGCTGTCAGGGATCCCTTCACAGTCTTTCCTCTCCCCCGCCGTCCCTCCATCCCTCACTCCCTCCTCTACCACTGTCGTGACCTTCCCTCAGTGGCCACTTCGTCAAATCGGCTTCCAGTCTGACTCCTGCCTCTCGGCCTCACCTCGCATCAAAGGTGGTTGTGTGTGTGTGTGGGGGGGGGGTTTCGACAGAATGTGCCACCATAGAATCACACACGCAGCCTTTAAGTGGCTGAAACAGGAAGTCTGCAGCCAGTAGTTCAGGGAGGTTTTTCACACTGAAGGACAGATGCTGAGGTTGTCAGGGGGTTAACTCGCTGATACAGAAGCTCTGAAGCCTTCCTGAACTTTCAAGGTTGTTTTGAATACTAATAAAATGTGAATTTGGCGTGTCTTTCCTTAATAATGGAGGGATTCACTGTGTTGCTCATTGTATATTCATATGGCTTTCATTTTAAATGGGTCAGAATTTTGCAGAAAATTACACAAGACTTAATTTTAAATATAATAATAAACACTTGTAACATTACAAGAATGAGGATGTCATCTTCTTGCAAGATACATAAATAGACTGATAAATAATTGCCATAAAAATAACAAAATGCCAATTCAGTTTGATTGTCAGTGTAACATACCATTTACTGTAGATATGCCAGTTTTCATATCCCTGGTGTATGATAGCTACCCTGGCATGGCTTACTGGGCCACTTAAATAGACCAGAGCTGTAATTACTGTTACTAGTCGCACCTGTACAATGACAAGTCAAAAGATCTAAAGCACAAGCATAAGAATAGCTACCATGTGCATGCATAATTAATCTTTCTTTCTAGCATTTAATGTGTGTGTGTGTGTGTGTGTGTGTGTGTGTGTGTGTGTGTGTGTGTGTGTCTTCAATCACGCCAGGTGCATCTGCCACCTGCCAGCCGGCGTGAACAGTGTGAGGTCTGTTCTGCTCTCATCATACCCACATCAGACAGGTAGGTGTGTGGCTGCTTCTTCACTCTTTCCCACACTCTGAATGTAAACTGTGTGAACACACACACACACACACAAACACACACACATTCACAAACCGAAGTCCAGAGTCATACTGTAATATAGCTAATGTAATTTTTTATCCTTGTGTGTGTGTGTCTGCCCTGCCTATTGATGTGTGTGTATCACTTAGTCAGCATCCTAATGAAGCCTCGTTAATGAAGCCTTCTTTTAGCTCGCCAGTCCTCCTTGTCTCGAAAATAATGAGGCAAAGTACATCCTGAACATCATCATCGCCCCACGATAAAGACGAGACTCACTGAGAGGAAAAAGAGAAAGAGGCAGGGTTCAGCTGAGTCCATTACTCCTCTGATGGTGGTTGGATCAAAGTAAACACTGATAATGGTTCCACCACAGTTAATAATACTGCTGCCCAAGAATGTTGGCTGGGCCGGCTACTCCCGACCTCACACGTATAATTGTACACACACAAACGTGCACGAGCGCACACATGCACGCACTCCTCATTCCTCAATAGCAGTGACACATTCCAAGCTTTCTTCCTCTCTTCCCACAAAACCAAACACTGCTCACTCCTTCTTTCTAATTGTAGACTTGTGATTTATTTGATGTGCAAAGGGAAACTGGCTTCCCTAGCTGCACTCCCATCGGAAAACATGCATGCTCACACACTGTACCTCTCTCTCACACACAGGCAATGACTCCATGCATCTCCCTTTGTAATTACAACACATACAAACTTCAGCTCCCATTAGAACCTGACTTATCTGCCTCCAGAGACCTCTACACTCTCAGAAGTTCCTCTGTCACGCCCTCCTTCGCTCCCTGCTTCTCTTGCTTCTTCCCTCCCTCCATTTAACAAGACCTGACAGGGGCCCTGCCAGGTTCACTTCAGTCACATAATACTCAGAGAAAGAACAAGTGGAGTACTTATGGATCAGTCAGTGAGGATTTCCAGGTTACCTCCTTTCAACCTCCACAGACACTGGCACAGTGAATTAAAAGAGATACAGACGGATTTGACCAAGAGGAAGTGGAAACTAATTCCATCACCCTACCAGTAAACCCTGTGAATTAGTGCGTGTTTATGCCAACTTTGGTGTATAAAGTTTGCCACATGGGAGAATGAGATTCTTTGTCTTTTGCAGCACTCAATACTGAATACCCTTGATGAGACTAAGCAAACAAATATCATACAGGATGCAGTTTTGCATACACACTCACGAAGAGTGCTGGTGCTGAATTGGAGAGAGGGGTTCTGTTTCCGCAGGTTCCCACTGAGGGGCCGAATAGGCTGCTGTCCATCTCCGGTTTATCAGCACGATCAGTCAGCCTCTTCCCCTAGGGGATCCAAAGGGTAATGATCTGGTATCAGAGCTGTTTTTTTTTGAAGCGACAGGATGGCCCCATCCTTGATTGTAGTCCAGACACGGTGACAGGTGATGGGACTACGACGTAGCATTTTAACAAAGTTCAAATAAAAAGGGCAAACTTCAACCCTCACGTTGTGTTCATGGGTCATTACCATTAAATTGTGACTGCAATCAGAAATCATGCAATGCTCAGAAATCCCTTCACACTTGGGATTATTATAAAAGGAGAAAAGAACATAATTAGGAGATTAGTGAGTATTCATGTACTGTATCATCTCTCCTGTGTTTCCATTACCTGTGTGTGGTGGGATGTGTGTGCGCATGAGAAAAACGTTTCTTAGGGACTGCCACCCAGGGGTGAAACCAGAGACCAGAACTCAGAATCACAGGCAACCCGCTTACCTACCCCTGTGCCAAACCCCACCACCACTTCCACCACCCCTCTCCTCAATCAACCCTTGCTGCCCTAATCCAGTGTTTACATAAAACGCTGGGCAGTAATGATAGCCATGAGACCATGGACCACCCCACGTCCCTACACACCCTCCTCTTCCCAACCGCCCCCACCACCTTCCACCGCTAACCCAAAGCTGTTTTCACAGGAGCCAAATACCTTAAATACATAATTAGCGGGGTCATTTGTGCAATGGGGGCCCCAGCGAGGGCATGAGCATGTCCGTGTGAGTTTGTGGGGGGCAGAGGGAGGATGAGGAGGGTAGCGGGGGCAGGATATGAAGACGTGAGAGAGAGGCGGACAAAGACGTGCATTCATGGCTGTGGCCCCGGACAAACTTGGCTGTCGCCATCTTCAAAGGCCACCTCTGCCTTTCCTCAAAACCCAGAGGCCACAGGTTGGGGCAGAGAGGAGAAACATAACAGGGTGACATGGAGGGAAAGAGGAAAGGGGAGGACGGGGGGAGGAAGAGAGGGGTGTAAGTAATGAAGCAAAGGTTACAAGATCTGTAATCTGGGAAGGAAATATTCGAGGCTGACTCTCAGGAGGTTGATGCCATAAACTAAGAATTAGATCTTAGATTAGGTTTTACATCCAACAATGTAAAAACATAAAATTTACCTGAGACATTTACAGTAAACATGGAAATGAAGGGAGATGATTAAAGCTTCACAATGCATCCGTCATTTAGTTACACCAGCAACATCCCCCATATGACCCCTGAACCCTGAACTCTGACCCTGTGCATTGTAGGTAGTCAAATCGCAGTTTACCCTCCGCAAGAGCCCAAAATTCCAGTGGTCCATGTTTCACACTGGGAGACCTCCTTTGTATTGTTCAACCGCGTGCGCACACACACACACACACACACACACACACACACACACACACACACACACACACACACACACCCAGAGCAATTTCAGCTGCCCTCTTCACACCTTGTCGGCCCCCTCGTCCCCCTCTGGCATTGTTTATGAAAGCATGTCCACTTAGTGCTGCCCTGTCTGCCCCCTCTTGCTGTGGTGCCGATTACCCACATCCTGAGTCCACTTCATTCCCTCTTGTCTTCATTTTTTCCCTCTCTATACATCCCCTTGCACTCTCACTCCTCTCTCCTGTGCTCCATCCTCCTCCGCCCTCTTTCTCTACCGTGACATATTGCTCTCTCCTTGCTGCATAGTGAGTACACGGCACACACTATACTGACTCCTCAATCCTTACTTCAGCCTTCCTTCTGTCCTTATGAATGAAGCTGTGCATGTCAGATAAAAACAATAAAATCACTCAAGCCTCTGCTCTTCCTTTTATCTTGACTTTATTCACTTTATCCTCTGTTCCACTGGCTTGCAGAGCTGCTGTCTCTCTGATCCTTTCTCTCTTTCATGTTTTGCCTTTCTTCATCTGGCTCCCTCCTGAGGTAATAAGCCGGGTGTATGGCCGGGAAGTGTAGAGGAGAGAGACTTTCATGTCCCTTAGCTCTGGGATTAGGGTGAGCTGCTCAGGGAAAAGTAATAAAGCCCCCAGCACCTACCGTCTGCTGCTGGTGGATCCTGGAATAAAGCCCAGCTCCTGCTCAGCCTGCAAGCCTGGAAAAGCTCACATTTCCTGCATACACCACCCTCACATCCAGCTTCTGTCCTGCCTACTGCAGCAGCACCAGCACATGTGGATTCCACTGTTTTGAGCTCACATAATCTATACATCTTTTACATTTGTGTGTATTATACAGTTATTTAGATAAAACTTAAAACAAAGTATGTTACTAATGGGGGAGCAAGTACAATTGTTTTGGTTCACGGTGCTCCCTCTAACCACTAGGTTTATTTTCCTCTGCTATATTATCCAGCTTGCTCATTTACTTTAATTTTTTTTTTTACCATAACCTCCCTTTGTGGCCATTAGACACTCTCTGTCTTTAGTGCTGTATGACATCTCATTCTCTACCTACATTTATCCTAAAATACCTTGCTTGAGACACAATGCAAACAAATTATGGGAGTCAACATTCAGTGAACATTTTCATAAGCAGAAATATATTTATTGTTGAAAACATAAATATATAAATTATGATTATTGCTGTCTTTATCCAATGGAAGCCCAAAAGAAAAGTAATAAAGGCTTAGTGATAGCGTATTGGCATTTTCTTTAATCGAATAGCTCCAAGTGTGGTCCCTGGCTTACTGACAACACTATCTTTATTGATGTAAATGTGAATGTGAACAGTGATGAAACATCAGGTTTATAAATATAGCACCAGTCAACTGATTGTTGGTTCATTCACAGGTGAGCTGTGTGTGTGTGTGTGTGTGTGTGTGTGTGTGTGTGTGTGTGTGTGTGTGTGTGTGTGTGTGTGCGTGTGGGTATATGCGTATGTGTGGGTGTGTGTGCGTGTGATGTCCACAACTCAGCAGTAGCTGATACAGCCATGTCACACTTTTCCTCATTTGACTTTTATTTGACTCACTTCACAGTGCAGTGACTCACTTTTTTGCCTTTGACTGAAAAACTTCTTGAATGAAAGGAGGGAAGACGACCATTGTTTTTTAACTGTCTGGGCCTGGTTACACATTCATCACTGTTACAGGAACTGGTAAGGAAGTAATTGTTCAGGTTCAGGCCAGCACTGTACTGTTTTTAGGCCACCTCAGAGCACTCATTATCATCTGTCCTGCTAGTATGTAGCTGCATAAGGTGTGAGCACCTTCACAGGGTGGAGTGATCAGAGATTTGTTCTCCTGTCAACAGAGGAGTAAAGCCTGGCTAAACAAGGAGCCCATTCATGCACTTGTCGATTTGCTTTGCTCACTCATTCACTCTTTAAAGTGGACTTTGCTCTTTGCAGGTACAACATGTGTGCTTGTGAAGCAGAGCGGGCGGGCATCTTTCTTATCAATGTTAGACTGATATGAGTGAAAAATAGCCTCACGTAGGACAGAAATCGTGTGTGAGGGCACACACACTACCGCCTTATACGTGCGCACCAGAGTTGCTCTAACATTTCTTGTGTGTCTGGCATGTACAAATTTTAATGTGATGTTTGCATGTTTGTGTGAATGGCAAAGAAATGATTAGGCAGTACTTATCATTGCTGTAGAATAAGCTGCAGTATTTACTATGAAATTGCCATGTTTGAGCCACTGTATCCCCCTCTTCACAGCTCTGATGCACACGGGCTAACAAGCACTGGTGGCCTTTTCTCCCTTTTTCTCGTATATTCCACCCCCTACCCACATTTTTGCATCTTTTCCAAAGGATTAAATACAGACATTCAACCACAACAAAAGAAATAAACATAATTCCTGCTTGGATATAAGTAAGCTTAATATATTTCATAACAAAAATAAAGCATCTTCCTGTACTGACTCTCACATCTCCTCCTTGCACACATATATCCAAACCATATACAAGACTTGACATCATTCAGATATACTGTAATATAATAAGAAACATGGATGACAAGAATAACATTGACTAAAAAAATGACATTGAGATTGTGATACTGATGGTTACAAGGAACCGGACCACACAGAACTCTTGCATTTCTCCAAAATCAAAACAATCAAAACATCTTTTTTGTTCTTTCTTTTGTACTGGAAGAGACAGAAAGCAAACGTCCACACGTATAAATAGTTTGTAAGTAGCGGCGCATCTTCCTTCTCAAATTTAACTGTACATAGCAAGTGGGCAAAGTCACAGACCACCAAGGGTCTCACAGAAGATTTCCTCTTTATCAGAGCAAACATCCCAAAACTCAAAATGTTTGATACTCCATAGAGAGTCTTATGGGGGTAAAAAAAACACCTCCATTTGTCTCTCTCTTTCTCTCTTTCCATTGTTTTTCCTATATCTTTCTTTCTTCCTTCCTGTGTTTGCAAGAGTCATTTAAACAGGGCACAGCGCTTTCATGTTTCCCAGCTGGAGGTCATCCACCGCTGTTTTGGAGTCTGAGCACCAGATTCCCACGAAAGCTTGATCCAACTGTTCCATAGCCGTTTCTGTTGTACATCTTGTTCAAACAAAATCTGTCAAAATGTTCAACACAAATCCCTTTCATCATCTCCCTTCGGCCTCTTTCTGCCCTGCCCGAGCTCTACGGCATCTTTCTCTTTCCTGCTTATTCAGGGTTCAGTTGTCTGGGTAGGTGGCGTACCACAGAGGAAGTCATCATCACTGGTTACTGTTTTTTAAGAAAAAGCACCTTTGGCATCTTATTTATTTTTGTCTCTTGTTTCAGTCTGTTGTCTTTACAGAAAAGTTAGATTTTTTTAACGAAGGTTGCATGGCAGTGGGGAAGAGGACTGAGCAGGTCTCCTGTTGGTGGGATTCTCTATTTAGGTCCCTCCCACGCTGAAGTCCCTTGTTCTGATTGGTCTCACCTCACGTCCACTGTGAGAGAGAGAGACAAGGCTGAGATTAGTATCATAATTTTACAGAGACATGGGTTGCATCATGAAAAAAAATAAAAGTTCGATTGTTGCATTTTGTGCCCAACTGCATCAATTTTTTCATGCATTTCAAACAAGCTGACACAACACACACAAGACCCACAATGTTCTGAATCATGTTTCTCCAGATTTCAAAGACAGTGATTAAACCAGGCATCATTATCTCCTGTCAAAATATGTGTGTCTTTTTTGTGTCTTAAGTAAAAGACAGAGAGGTAGACAAGAAAACTTTTTTTTTTTTTACAAACACCAAGTCTGTCTTTTAGTTACAGACAAAGATGAGAGGGAATAAATATTGTGATGACAAGGTGAGGGAGAGCAAAAGCAAAACATGGTGTCCTTTAAGCAGTGAAAAAACAGTGCAGCTGGTGTTGTCTTACTGTATAACACAACAGAAACAGTACACACAACCACATACAAGCACGACACTGTGACATAAAGCAGATGTATGTAGTGTGCATGCTCAGCAGGCCACAAAATCAGCATGCAGCATTGGGGCACAAGCAAGGTACTCCTTAGCCCTCCCTCTTCTCACACTGATTGGCTGTGATGTGATTGGTGATGGTGATTGGCCCTTTTTGTGCCCTGATTGGGCCAGTGCAGTGCCAGAAGGTAAGAGGACGCTCTGGTGCTAAAGTCCTACCTGTTCCCTTCACAGCTCTCCAGTGGACTTTGGGTAATGAGTGCAACTTTATTATGTTGCCAATAAATCCTTGCTGGGCCTTAGCTTTTTAGGTTTCCTTTTTTTACCTTTAGCCCTACGATGGCCTGAAAACACAAAGTCGGGATAGGAAGGAGGGTTAAAAGCAAGAAGCAGGGTTTATGACACAGAAAGAGGCAAAACAGCCCTGGGACAGAAGCAGCGAGTGCAAAGATATGACACACAATAAATACTTCAGATGCCTTATCAGCACACATCACAACGCTTATCTGCTCCCAGGGAGAGAAAGACTTCAGATCAAGGCACTGGTGGATTTACCTGCTGTCATGCCAAGCAGCCTTTGGACACCCTCCCTTAACACACAGACTCATATACACTTTCGCACAAACACATCCTTGCCTAACAAGGCACAAACACTCAAGCTTTGCAATAGCAGGTCACCTAACAGGTGTGTCTGTCTGTTTAGGAGCAATCATAGAAAAAGGTCATCCAGTGCAAAAGCCCAAGAGCCAGACAGAGAGAGAGAGAGAGACAATTAGACAGACGGAAGACAGCAGGAAGGCATGATGATGCATGATGACGTAGGGATGAGGGTGGGACTCAGCCATCAAACTGATTGAAAAAGGCGTTGCTTAACTGTTTGTGATAATGTAACAATGAGATATAATAACTTTGAGGGGTCAGATTTACCTGTTTCTGCGTCTGAGTGCTCCACCACATGATGCTGTGACGTGCACACACACTCCAGGTGGTCTTCTAACCGCACAAAGACCTCTTTCAGCTTGGGTTTCCTCCTCACATACTCCACCTTTGCTACCTGAAGAGAGGAAGAGAGAAAAGGTTAGCTACAGAGTCTGCTCATTACTCTTTGCCGTGTGTGTGTCGTCAATGAAAGCACACACTCTTTGCCCATCCGCTAACATCAAGAGGCGTAGCGCTGTGACTGATGACTCTTTCATAAACCAATTCATAAAAAACACCAGCCGTTACTTTGCCTCGCTGTGTTTAAAGTGTGACGGCAGCATTCCTCAGAGGTTGATGCATTGAGTTCTGCTTGTTGTGTGCTCTATGGGCTGTTGATCAGGTGTGTAAATACTGAATGGAGTGTATGACCCTGTCAAAGCAAGCTCAAACAATGGGAGAGGAGAGATGGAGAGTAGTGGGGAGCGGTATACGCCCTAAGGCCCAGGGAAGGTTTACACTGGCAGGAGAAGAGAGGCTGAGGGAGATCCCCCCCTGCTCTAGGCCTGGAGCATCCACATCCAGACAGACACACACCTAAACTCCTTCACCTTGTTCCGACATGTAGGCTGGTTTTAAACCACATTAATACTTCTTCATGGCTTAGGGAAAGTGTTGCTTAACATGTGCATGCAAGAAATACAGTTTACATGTTCTAATCTAAGCTGTAGAACCTCAGAAAGCGGCCTTTCCAATCTAACAAACACAAAAGCAATACAGGCATTCCTATCCTTCAGTCCAGCTAACACCCTCTCAGTTTAACACAACAGGGCTGACCTCCACTTCCCACCCAACAGCTAGTAATGAAAAGGACCAATCCTCGGAGGGTTATGAATAGGCTATGTTGATTAAAGCTTAGATGAAAGCTGAATAGAGAGGGTTGCATGGAGGTTATGATGATCTTGTTGTGTAACTCAGGGGAGGTGGCTACATGCTTTTCCCTTCTCTGATCTGAGTGCCAAGGGCAGGTAACCTCCCCATCCACCACTGCGGGCCTGGGGGCCACATGGAAACAATATCCCCTGCTTCACCAATCTTCCTGGTCACTGCACGAGAGAGGATATTGGCTGACAATCTCCCAGCGCTCTCTGGTGTTATGAACAACACCAGTTTTCCAGTCTGCATGAGGCTCACACACGCACAGACAGGGCCAAAACTGATGAGAGGCTTTCTTCCTCTATCCTGTGATGGCATACGGCCAAGGCTGGCTTTCACTGGTGAATTAGTCATGCAGACAAATGAACATACCAATCCCTGTCTGATAAAACAAAGTATAATGTTGACATTCACGAAATTCACACAGCTAGAGCTGCCTCATGTCAGTGCTGTGACAATGGCTGGAGGGTCATCTGGTGAGGCTAAAACTGAAAGCAGGGACCAGTGGTTTCACCAGCCACTCCTTTGCAACAGTTTCTTTCCATGGAGAGAGGAGAAAGAGAAAGAAGAGAGGGAGTGAAAAGAGAGAAAGCAAGCAGATGAGGTATGCAGTGAGCAAACAGAGGACAATGGTGTCTGGGTTAGTGGTGGTGTTTTTGGTGTTATCGGCCCTGACAGAGAGAGAGAGTGGGTGAAAGGCCCAGTGCAAAAGAAAGAACTGAGAGCAGGAAGGTGGACCATCACTCTCATTAGGGAAAGTGTGTGTGTGTGTGTGTGTGTGTGTGTGTGTGTGTGTGTGTGTGTGTGTGTGTGTGTGTGTGTGTGTGTGTGTGTGTGTGCACGCGTGCGCAAACAGAGGGGGTTATTTAAGGAAGGGGGAGGAGGAACTGACCATGATCATGACTAGCATAAGATGACATTCATGTGTTACCTATTAACATTTAGTTTCTGGGTTACCTACCGGGGCAATATATTACACTAACACTGACAGGATAGATAGAGAAGTTATCAAAGGCTTATTGTTATCTACCAAAGGTGCAGACTGTATCACAGAATTTCCCAGAAAACGTGCTAACACTGCTAATATTTAATCAAATTATCTGACTGAAAAGGAAGGGAAGAGAGAGAAAGAACGAAAGAAAATGAGATGAAAGATGCAGCTGTCTCTGCGGACGGCTCTGCTGCTATTGGTTACGGGAATATCCGAGCAGAGGGGGGTTCAGAAGAAGACAGCAGGAAGCCAAAAGAGACCCTTACTACTGAGGCTGATCCTAATGACACACACACAAATCCAAACTCTTTTGGCCAAACAAACAGCTATTGACAGAAGAATAAAGCGATGGGCCTCCTTGATGAGTGGCCCAGTGGTTGGCTTGTCTCCTTGCCCCTCACACAGCAGGCTTAAAAAAACACTCTGCAGGAGTTACTACACACAGAAACATACACACTTTCATATTTGAATGTGAATGTGTACAACTGTGCTATAATTCTTTTCAATCCGCCTCTGCTCTGCCCACTTTGTCAACACTCTCCTTCTATCTTGTTTCCTGTTTCTTGTGTTATGGGAAAGTGTTCACGAGAGAGGAATGGCGGTCTTCACTCCTACAATTTTCGTCCACATGTAATTTTTAGTCACTTCTTCACTTCAGTACAAAGAACACTGGCTTCCGATCCGGCGCAGAGTCAATGACTTCCCACATAAAACATACATCAAAAAGAGACCCCCATGCTACGACGAGGGGCCCCCACAGTCTCTTTGTATAAATCAAACTGTTCTAAACTCCCTAGAAAGCCGGGGCCCTGAGAAAGAGTCCCCCGAGCGGCTGTGGAATGATATCCGATCCAGAGGGTTGGGGTGAGGCAGGGGGCTCTGGGAAGTGCACCCCCTTGGTTTGTCCTCAGTGTCTCTGCGGCCCTCCGTGTGAAGCCAATTGTCCCGGTCGGGCTAATTGGTAATTCCCCAAGCACGAAGCCCTGATGAGAGCATGATGGAGGGGAAAGTTTTACTCCAGCCGTCCAAGGAAAACACAACAGGGATGTGGATGTACACCGCGGGCTATGATGAACTGGAACAGTGACAGAATTGAGCAAAAATACACAAGAATGTACATGTGTGTTTGGAAAATGGGGGGGTGTAAAGAGGCCGAGTGTAGTGGCAATTAATTTATCAGGAGGGAAATTAGGCAAGGGAGACACTCAGAGCTTGTGTCCTGGAAAAAAAAGAGCTCTTGTTGAGATTCCATCTGTCTGTCTGATTGTTTTTATGAAATCAAAGAAAGAAAAAAGGACACCCAGGAGAAAGGCGAGATGATCTGCTAAAGGGATAGGAAACCACAGAAGACGCAAAGAGACAACCTGCTGCTGCCCTCTACTTCAACCCCTCTACTACACACACCCACAAACACACACACACACACATCGGGTGAAACAGGTTATCGCAGGTGGTGTGTGGAGAAGAGAGGAAGCAAGGACAGCATTGCTCACAGGTCTGCAATGCCAAAAAGGCACTTCATGACACACCAATCTCTCCCCACCTCTCTCTCTGTCACACACACACACACACACACACACATTAATGTATCTCCAGATGTGAATAACTGTCTGCCCATGACCACATAGCGTCCCTTCCCCTGCAGAACTATCATGCAATATCAAATATCAAAGAATCTATGGATGTGTGATGTTTCCATTTATTTCTTCTCTCCTTCCCGTGTCTTTACAGAACACAGAATTGCAGATGTGGAATACAGTACTGAGCACTTAAAAGAGGGAAAAGTAAATAAGATTTTAATGAGAGAGAGCCAAAAAAGTAAGTGTAAAGTAAATGGCAGAGACTGACAGAGAGCTAAAATTAAAGAGTGGGAGATGGTTCTCTTGCAGGAGAGAGACAGAAAGAGTGAGGAGGGAGTGAACAACTATTTCACATAACAGACAATCAGACTCCAAGACTGAGGGGGGCTGAGCAGAGAAGAGAGGTGGAGGGTGAGGATGAAGTCAGAGGGGAAGAGCGAAAGGGAGGACAGGAGAGGAGGAGTGAAGGAAAATACAGAAATGAAGTAAAATATGATTAAAATACGGCTGCTACTTTTCCTGCTCACGCTGATGCATTCCAGCCGGTGTGGCAGTAGCCAAACTCTCCGGCTTCTGGCTTAGTTGGGACGCTCCCATGGTCTCTGACCCGCCCCGCAACCCCCACAGTGCACACCACACACACACATTTATACACACACTTAAACTCCCTCACCCTTCTTCATCTAGTAGGAGAGCTGAGTGAATCAAAGGGAAAAATAATTCACAGCTGCGAGGGACTTCAAAAAGGGAGGCCCCTCAGTCCCATCGGCCTCCCCCCACCCCCACGTAATCCACAGGACCCCTCAGACGATCATAAATCATGCTCACTGTATCATCGTCTTTTATTTATGAAACACCCCGTAAGTCAGGGTCCCACACAACCACAGGGCTACAGCTACTGCTTCCCCCCAACACCAGGATGTGACCCACTGTCGCTGAGGTAACTGTCATTGAGTGTGTGTGTGTGTGTGTGTGTGTGTGTGTGTGTGTGTGTGTGTGTGTGTGTGTGTGTGCGAGTGTGATGGGGTCGGGCCAGGGCCAGAGCAGGGAGATGTGTGGACCGCCACACTCAGCGCTGTGGCTATATCCGCCTGGCCTCTGTCAGCCTCCACTTTGATCCAGCAGCCATCAACACTTCATTACTCTGCGGCCCGTCTTCCTCTTGCTCCTGCTTCACTCAAATGGCCCTGTCCCTGCGCTGTGGTAGGGGTGTGTACCTAGCATCGCATAGAGCGCTCTCTCTCTCTCTCTCACACACACACACACACACCCACAAACAATCTCTTTGGGTTTACACAGATGTGAGCTGGTGACCCTCCACGACTTCTGCAAAATACTTGTACATATGCTTCAAGGACCATCAAAAGTTTCCAGCTACTAAACCAAACCAAATGAGAGAAACTGAACTTTATTGTTGGCAAATTATGCCATACTGATTTGATTAAGGCACCTCATGATGGCGATGAAAACGGTTAGTTCTCATGTTTTGCTTCTATTTTTGTTAACTGTGTTAATTTTGAAAATTAGAAAATGTAAATACCATTTACAGCACAAGTATTGTAATTTAGCCATTTTGTAAATTACTTTGTGGGACACAAGGGTATAATTAACAGCTCATTTATGCCCTCTCTTTATTTTTCTTTTCACTTTCTACAATATGAAGCTCTATCTAAGCTGCCCTTCACACAAGAATGGGACCTTGTTTCTGTCAACTGTATATTCGTGCAACAGAAAATACAAGAAAACCTCCTGGATTCCCTTACCTGAGTAACACAAGCAATTTAATCACAAATATCACATGTAGTCACTTCTGTGTCTGCTCATGTGGGTTTCTGAATGAGAAAGGGGCATATAATGAACTTACAGACCAAGCACTGCAGAAGCTTTAAGAGTTAATGAGTGAGAGAATGAGTGACAGCTCCATTATTTGCCTGTGTCATGGGCTGTTTAATCAGCCCCATAGGAAGAACAAACAGAGGGGGCATTTAGATCCACACAAAGAGAGTTACACACATTCATACACACAAAGATTAAAATAGAGAAAAGAAACGTGCATGTGGATGTCGAGATCACTACCAAACTCTCTTTCTACCACACACACACGTTGTATACTACAGTCTCTATAGTCCTGCCTGTCCAAAATCACCAGTTGTTTTATGAGTGAGTTCGTCTAGCAGGCCTTGGAGCCAAAAGCACTGAGAAAAGCATCAGAAATACTGGACACAGCTGCAGCCGTGAGCAAACAGAGAGAACCATGTGAGGAGGAAGAACAGAAGGAATACAGGAGAAGGAGGAGGCAAAATACAGGAGAGAGTATGAGAGAAGAGAGATGAAAGATTAAGAATCAACAGAGACAATGGGAGTTGGAGAGATTTTGTCTTGTGTTATCAAAATGTCAATGAAACACTAATTGTGACATTTATTTTCATGACATTGTATGTCATATCTGGAGTGTAACAACTCTAAGAACTAAAATAAATACTGACAAAATGGTCAAAATGGTCTGCCAGCCTCCTGTGATGAAACACCAAAGGAAAAAGAGACAAAATATGGAGAAATCACTTCGATGGAAAAGAAAGGGGAGAGCCAAGATGTTGGGACAGGGGGAGTGTATGTGGTGTCATTGAAAGTGCAAAAGGGGGTGGGTTGGGGGGGTGAGGGAGGAGTTAAAGGAATGCTGGGATTAAGGAGTCTGAATACATAAAAACTCATTAAGAATTCTGTTTGCCTCTCTCCTCTGTCTGTTTCCCCAACTTTCTGCCTCCCTTTCTGTTTCTCTTTCCATTTCTGCCTCTCTCACTCAATCTCTTTTATTAACACTGACCCATCTCTAAATGCCTAGCAAAACTCTTATCTTTACACCGCTGGCACTTACTGTGCCCTTCCCATGCCAAGCTATGCTGGCAACACAAAACAACAAAGTAAACAAAGTTTTAAAGATACACCTTTGACAGGGATGGACCAAAGTTTATAAGTAGTTAAAGAGAAACGCGAAAGAGTGAAAGGAAGGGAAAAGGGAGACTAAGAAAAAGAAAGAGTGAATTTAAGATCTGCCCCTTCTCCTCCCTCAGGCTAATCCTATTTAAAGTTGCCTTTTTTATTACCCCGCCACTGAACAGGACAGGCTTGTACAGTAGAGGGCCTGCACAGACCCGTTCTCTTTTTTTTTGGTCCATAGCATGAAAAAGGAAAAAGGGAGAGAAACAGAAGAGGGGGCATAAATAAATAAAGGTGCATTTGGACAAATGCATGGTGGCATGAGATGGAAAGAAACACAGTGAATGTGTTCTTTTCCCATCCTTGGCCAGCAGAAAGAAAACAGGCCAAGGGTAGACGGGCAACATTTTTAGCTTTCTAATAAACGGAGGGAGAAGCACAAACTGAACCCCTATTCAGACTAACTGCTGAGAGGACAGATAGAAAAAAAAACTTGGCATGAGACAATGTTTCTCACACACAATGTGGTGAATGTCTCCTGACCGGAGCGAGCCCTGACGGATGACCTTTCCAGGGATACAACGCCTCTCAGCCCCCCTTGCCCGCGGCTGGAACCGCATGGAAAAACGTCCCCCAGCAAAACCCTGCCCACCACTCCTGAAGGTCCCTCTCCAGTCTGTGCGTCCTCAGTCCTCAGTGTCATGGGGGGGACATGGACAAAGTCGCATGGATCACGACATTCCAGGAATAGCTGAATCGAGCCTTATAACGGCCTTTTCTCTCCATCCGTCCTCGTCACTGTGATCATCACAGACAGACAGAGCTCCCATTGAGGATGATAGACACCGACTGTCTGGCAGACAGAGAGACAGACAAGCTTGCATGCAGACACACAGACACACAGACACACACACACACACACAGTGTTGTGCTGTATATCAGAGCCTGACCGCACTATGAGTCAGCTTTTCTGACCATAAACCCTGTGCCCTGGATGCAGTGCCCTCTGCCCCTACAATGGCAATCTTGTCAGCGGTGTCCTCCTATCCATACTGAAATCTCCCTGACACGTGCCAGTGCGTAGGCAGCAGCAGGCGGGGTTGGTATTTGTTTTATTACTCTGCTGGTCTGTTGAGGCGGCATCTTTAAAACCCTTGATGAGGAGCAGAAGACAAAGTGATGTCCCATTGCCCACAGTCGGACAAGATTACAATGATTACACAGAACGGACAACAGAGTGCAGAGATAGACTCAAAAGAGGAACACAAACACAGTGAGAGTGTTCCAGACTATCCTGTTTATCCTCTGCTTGTCTCTTACTCTTACAGAACAGAGCACATAACTCCCATACCTCCAAACAGAGCCATGCCCCCGCTAAGAGTCTGTAGTGTAAATACAGCAGAAATACGACTCAGCCCCAGCCACGGTGTCTCCTCTGATCCTTAACAGAAGGCCGTGTTTTCGAGCTATCAATGCCAACAAGCGTCTGAGAACAGTGCAACCCCCTTCAATCCCTCTCTCTTTCTCTTTGTCACCTCGTCTCCTCCAGACTCCCTGCTTCCAGAAAAGACAAAGGGCCAAACAAACAGAGAGCGGAGGAATAGCTGTGCAGTAGCCAGTGACACTCAGACATTCTCAAGGTACAAGAGACTCTTTCTCCCTCTCTCTCTCCCTGTCTGTCTTATATCTGGCAGGAGCATCTCTCTCCGGACGACCCTTCAACAGATGTCCTGGCTGAAGGTGCCAACAACCCTCCCCTCCCTGCCCTCTCTCTCCTTCTCTTCCTCCCTCCCGCTGTCCTGGCACAGCCGCCCTGGCCTCTCGCCAAACATGGAATAGAGTGATGAGGAGAGAGGGTGGCGATCGGGTGTAATGTAAGGAGAGAGGGGAGGGGACAGTGGAGGTAAGGTGGCCACGATCTGGGTAGTGGCCAAGGAGGCTCAGAGGAGTGGGGTAGATTGAAATGAAGAGGAGCTGTAGAGGAAAGAGGGCGTAAAGTAGGAAAGGAGTGATTTATAACTATGATTTACTTACCTGGTGAGAGGGAAAACGGTGGAGATTTGTGTGAGGAACTGGGTGTGTTTGTGGAATAAATAAGATGACTATGATGTAAGTATTTTGTGTCTAACCTTGTAATGCAGTGATGACTTGGAGTGGTTGTTCTTTATGCATGCTTTTTAACAAGTCCATAAGCTTGCAGGCAATCTTAACTGCAGGAGTGCATGTTTCTTACCTTAACGGTGCGGTGGTGCTTGCGGGAAGGGTGACAGCGCATGTTGCTTGTGTTGCAGCAGCCCGTGCAGCGCTTCACCTCCACACAGGGCGGCCATATCAGGAAGTTGGCAGACGTGGGATCCACCTGGCTCCTGGGGATCTCGTAGATCACCGTCCGCGTCTTACACACCGCCGGGACCGCCTCCTCTACTGGAAGAAAGACAGAGAGAGGGAGGAGTCGAGTTAATGCATTTGGTCTTTGCATGAGCGTTCAGTGACACATTTTCCGAATGCGAGCGCGTGCTGGTGTATTGTTGTAATCCGTCCGTTTTTCATTCCCAGCTGCTTCACACATTCCTTCTTTGCTCATTATTTGATGACTCACTTGATGTGGGAGCTGTTCGCCTTACCTCAGATCACACCCAACCTCCTTTAAGGCTGTTAAGAAGACAAGCTATCCAAAAAGCTGATCTCATATCAGCTAAGGAGCTTTGGGATCAAGTCGGTGAGACAGAAAGAGACTGCTTCTTTGTTCAGAGCCCTCACTGGGGTTAATGCAGCGTGACTAGGCCAGAAAACCTTTATGTCCGCCGGTGGAAAATCTAATAATGGCCTTTGACCCTGTTGGCCAGAGTGAAAAGAGGAAGGCAGTAAGCATTCATTTCAGATTTAATGCTCTGACAGGCACTTAAACCTAAAGATGTGACAGAGAGTGTACAGTAAGATACCATTATGTCATAAAGATGATATGTGCATCATGTACAGAACGTGAAGGCTTTTGTGGACAGCTGCCAAAATGGTATACTGTATCATACACTTATGATACGGTGCACATACATGAAACACGACCAGCCACTTTATCCTGCGTTGCTTTAAGCGCTGCACTGCTGGGAGAGATGTGAAGAACACACAGCCAGTCTTAACACACACATCACAAACTACATGGTATTCTCCACGCCTCGATCAGATATCGTACCGCGTGGCGTTTTATGAAGAAATCTGACTGAGAGCCCAGGCGAGCTGCAACTTGAGCCCTGAATGCCTGGAATTTCCACGCTCAAGGATATATTTCTCTCCTGACGCGTGTGTCTTAGATCTGCAAGCCTCTGGCCAATTAAAAGGCTTCATGTCAGACGTCCTCGTCAACCTCACACACCAGTCTCCTTTCTCATGATTCCTTGATTGCCGTAAATACTGGGTAGATGTCTTCATTAGGGTTCCTTTTATCCACAAAAAGGCATTATAAAAGCCACTAACTATTAGCTTTGTTTGAAATGAGTGTAAAGTGATTGGTTTCATCTCCTGGGAACTCGAGTTTAAGATGTTATTTTTAGGGCGTTATGACACTGTAATACGTTGTGCCAAGTTGTGATGTATATACTGCCAAATGTAATCATGATGCAATTGAGGGGCAGTGTGAAGCATATAGTATTCATTCAGGCTTACCGATGCTCCTCTTGCGTCGGCTGTGGAGCTGGGAGCTCTTCAGGTCATTGTAGTAACCAGGATGACGGGAGTAGTTCTTATGGTGGTTGTGGTGCTTGTGGTGCTTGGGCTCCTCAATAACATCGTTTCCCGTACCTCGTCAAAACAGAAGCCAGCCATATTAATAATGTCACACAGAAAAAAACACAAAAGCTTATTCAACCAATAAACCAACTATGAGTCTGTTAACCGCCACTGCAACTTTGACAGCGTTGAATGACTGTGGTGGGTGGCCTCACCAGAAGGCTGCATGTGATCCACTATTGATGTTTTATATACCCCTTCCACAACAAACAATGTGTTGGTTAGTCACACGACCATAATGAGATGGTAGCTACGCGTTCTTGAGCTGTATGTAACACATGCTTTGATTCCCTGAAGGGCTTAGGGTTCCCTTTAACGTGCTGGCTGGCAGGCAGGCGGGCAGGTAAGCGATCGCTGATGATGACACAAATTGAGGTAAACAGTCCAGGGTACACCGGGTACAGGCAGGAGAGGCAGTTTTACACAGACTTCTGTGTAATTGCGAGCGTTGTGTGTCAGCCTCACTCGCTCATTTGGCTGAACTTTCCCAGCAGGAATAAAGTATCTAGACGCAGGTGAGTCAGCATGCTCCTTCAAAAACAACCAGCTTTTACAGACACACAAGGGACTAAAGTGGTCATTTGACAGGTGGTACTCAGCTGCCATTATCCCTGCACCTAATTAGTGGTTTTGTGTCTCTCATTTACCTGAAAATGTTTGCTTTTTCAATCATTCGGTGGCTTGGAAAAGTACATGTGGTAGCTTCTTAAAGCTCCCCAACTCCAGTCTAATATAGCCAGCTCAGCTTATTCACAGTCATGGTCATCTGATAAAGCTTGCTTGTTTTGGTCCCCACCCAGAATATGAGGTGGATTACAGAAGAGTGCCAGGGCAGCAATAAAACGATAAAGCTTGTTCGCAGGATACTGCCCTTTCCCAAAGAGCAGAGTCTGAGAGTGTTTGCTTAGTGGGTGGGTCTACCTGTCTGTACGTACAGCATACCCACCCACCTGGCTAATACAATCCTACACCTGTGCACTTAACATAAACACATGACTCGCAACTACACAAACTCCTCTCATTATCCTCCATAACATGCTAAAACCCAATGTACACCAGCACAACAAAGCTTAGCCACAGGCAAACACATTCCACTCATCCAGCTCCTTTGTGCTCTGACCAGAGTCATCTGAAGGGATTTCCTCTACCTATACATGGTCCACTTCTGGGACTGGTTGTTTATTTGCTTTTGGATGCCTTCTTTTTTGCAGGTCTGCCCTTCAGTGAGAGTTGAGGGAATTTCCTTCTAGCCTGTCATGCAGTCAGTCAGACAGCGAGTGACCCAGAACCAAAGGTCCACCGAACGGAAGTGTTGACGGCAGCTGGGGCTTGAAGTTAAGCAAAGGGCTGAGCGATCAGTCTACCAGGCCGGTATACCCACATACAGAGACGCACACACTCTCCAGTGCCTGACATATAGATGGAAACACACACCTAGACTGTCTGCACTGTCCGGTAGACTGTGACAGCTGGCTGATTTGATTTTCCTACCTAACAACCTTTTAACACTGCGGGTCACTGACAGCACTCCCACTGTGCCTCCTCTCACCCTGCCATACCTATCCCTCCCTTCATCTCCCCCTGTCAGAGGAGGACGGGAGTGAGGGAGGGCGTCACATCAGTGGCCACCCGGAGACAGCTTGTGTCAAAGCTGACAGGAGAAAGGGAGAGAGGACATAAAGAAGTCCTTTATAGACTGCAGAGACCTCTTTTCAGCACAATAAAAGGACCTTTCTGTTGGGTTTTTTCTTTACACTGAAAGGACGAAGAAGGAAAATAGGGAAATGGGGCAATCAGAGTGATCGGGTAGGTAGATGCAGGGAAAAAAATAGGTAAGATGAGAGAAATAAAGATAGGAAGGATAAAGAAAGGGTGTTCAAGAGAAAGGTGGAGCCTGCGGAAAACTAGAGTGAGGAGTCCAATCCATCCCGGTGACTCAGAAGAAATAACACGTCCGAAGCGTCATCAAACTGAGACAAGCAAAAAGAGGACAGGAGACAGTCTCTCGCCATGAATCAGGCTTTCATGACTCGCAAATTGCTCCCCCCATTACCTGATGGCCTCGGCTCCCTCCCTTTACTCCTCCTCCTCTCTTTCTTTCTCCCTCTACTTGTACAAATAGCCAACATGTTGTTGACTTGTTGTAGTAAGCGCCCCCATAATTCTCTCTCTCTGTCTCTCCTTTAGGAGTTGAGGTCATATGGTCAAAAGGTGCTCCCTGTGGGTGTGAAAGCAGGTAGGAATAACTGTGTTTTTGAGGCCCTGCAGGTTCATAGGAAGTGCTGCCAGCTGGAGGTAAACACGCTGCCAGCTTGTCAGAAACAAAGCACATTGCACAACAACTTGCGGCCTCTCTGACTGAAGTGCAACAAGGATACAGCCTCCAGAGTTCTCCTGCTCCCTCCTCCACCTCTGCCCCATGCCAAGAGTCAGGTTCCTTTTCCTGTCAAAGTCCTTCACTGAGGGAGATAAGAGCAGGCAGACAGAGGGGGCCGCCTAAGGAGGGAGACAGGGATAGAGAAGGGGAAAAGCGAGGGGAGGAGCACCTCAGGGGCCAGACAGCCATCTGCAGACTTCAGCGGGGTCATCTCATCTGTCAATCAGAGCTGAAGACACCATCCTCGCAGGACGTGTTCACACAGAGAAACAAGCCTGCACTGAGCAAAGCAGCACTAAATGAAACACACAGCCACGAGATAAGCCCTGCAGGCCTCCCCAGCGATCCTGACACATACGTCCTCACACAAGCAACACCAAAATAATCTTTGTCTCAATCAATAAATGCTAAAACAAAATAATCAAGGGTTTCCTAGATGTGCCCTTCAACACACCATGTCAGTCCTTGCAGGTGCTATTGTGTAAAGGTTTGAACAAACACCTCCTATTAGCCTTTCCTTTCTCCTTCCCTGGTTGACATGCTATGCCATGTACAGTTCAGCCTATACTGGTAGCTTTAGTGTCCTGGCCGCCCACAACAAAAGCTCTGAAAATACCCCTCTGGCTGGCGTCAAAGGTCTTTTAATGGGCTGGCCTGGGCCGCCAAGTTGGCCCTCAGACAGATTTATGTTCTCGTAATAATAATCAGCCTACTACTGTTACCCTGCAAAACATTCCTCTGTTTGAAGAAAGACATGTTAATTCAATTATAAACACCTCTTCTCATGCTAGAGGCACTCCGGGGATCTATTCTGGGCTCAGTGTAAAGTGGGGTGATCACTGTACTGTGGAGTGCAGGTTGGTTTGATTGTGAATTGATAAATTAAACACACTAATGATATGTAGCTATTAGTCCTAATTGATACGTCCATCAGAAAAGCAATTGTGTGGTTATACAGACGAATACTTGAGACTTGACTGAAAGACCAGTCCTAATGTTGCTTTGCTGAATATAAGTTTTGAGGTTACTAATGAGGTATGACCAATGAGGTAGCTTACATCATTTAGTAATTACCTATTTCCATCAACAAATCTTTAGGGGAGAGCCCTGAATTTGATATATAGCCAGAGCCTGTGTAAATAGAGGCTCGTGTGAAGGCAAACAGCTTCTTCCAGAGCACCCCTGTAACTTAATCTGAGACAGTCTGAGAGAGACCGGTCTTGCACCACAGAAGAAGCAACATCTCCAAGAACCTGAAGCTGAAGAAACCCGCCTGACCTGCGAGCCTCTGTCTCTGTTTACAGGGCAACATATGTGGCAGTCTGGCTGCTATAAAGCAAGTTTATTACAGCAGCTGTAAGAATATGCACAAATAAATGCCTGCCAGTGAAAGTCCATCTTTGTCACATGTGTACAGTAAAAGCACCTATCATGGTTAACATGTTATCACGCACACACCAGGGCTGGCACTTGGCAGTTCCCCTGGGTGCACAGATCCCTCAGCAATTTCCTGTACAGTGCTGTAGTCATGTACAGTCAGCTTGATATCAGGAGTCATACCTTCACTGATTCCCAGCAGATAATAATTTATGGAATGTGTCAAAACACCAGATATTCCTGTTTGTTCACTAAATCCACTAAACCTGCACGATTGGCAAAGCCTATACATCTTATTTAATCAGCTTCTGCCTATGTCAGCTGTTAGTGTATCCACGATTGATGACAGCATATTATCAGTGGTTTTACGTTGTTAATTATTACTCAAAATTCACATATCCGTTTAGCAAAAGTACTTCACATATTGCACTCTTAACAAGGGTCATGATTATTTTAGGTACGGCCTTTGATTGAGTTTATGTAATAGTTATTCGGCTTGACTTTTAAGTCATCACCTGTTGTCTCACTTAGGCAAATATAAATGGAAACTCCCCACACCAGATAATATTCTGGCTATCTTTAAAGGCGATTCCACAACGGAGGATTATTTAACAGCTAATAAATGTACTGCTTATGTAATCATGGTGCAGCTGTTTTTAGTATAACCCTTTACCGCATGCTGTTACGGCAACAACAGCAGTCTCACATGTGAGCAACATCTGGTGATACAATATGTAACTCAGGTGTGTTGATAAAAGTATCAAGAGGCAGAATTTACCTACGGAGTCAATGTCCAGTAGCCGCTGGAGGTCGCTGATGCTGTGGATTTCACTGTGGGACAGTCTGTCTATCAGCTCCTGGGGAAACTCCACTTCCTTTAGGGGGCGGGGGAGGGGATGGAAAGGGGGGCAAAGAAATCAAACAAGAGATGAAGGTTAGAGATGTGTCGGGTCAGTGGCAAAACTTTTTGAATTTATGCAATTTAAGTTTGCAGAGGGGAGCAAAGTTGCATTCCTGGAGAATAATTTATCAAATGATCCGTTTTCGGCACCCAATTAATTCTTAATTCTCCCTGTAAAATGGCTATTTAATTTTTTTTCCCATTGCCCGAACCTGATAAGCAGGGGAATGATTGAGGGGAAACCTATGATAAGAAAAATGAACTTGCTTTAATATAACTGCTGATTTGAGTATTAATTGGTAGCTGATTAAAATAGCTCCCAAATGAGCCCCCAAACGACTTTAAATATTGCTTCTTTTTTTCTTTTTTTCTTTTTACTAATCTTGTTCCTCTGTGGATTGGGAGATCTGCTCTCTAAAGGGAACCCCACCACCAGTCGGGAGACGGTCTGTGTGTCCCTGTGAACGGCAGCTCTCCACACTTTTGCACTTGTTGCGGTCTCGCAAGCGCCTCAAGCTGAGCGAACCGCGCAGCCTTACAGGAACAGGGCTATTTATATCGCCCGGAGCGGTTCCCATGAAAGCGATTAGCCCAACCGAAACGTTTGCCGACTTGGCTCGGGCTACTAACAGATTTGACACAAAAGCCAAAAATAACTGCGATATGAGTCCAAGTGCAGACCCGATGTTGGTTCTGAAAAGCGCGCAGTCACTGGCTCCTCATGGTAACTGGAGCTGATATGCTGTTTGTTCATTCTCGAAAAATGAATTCACATACTGTTCTTAAAATAGCCTCTTAGTCTAAACTCTAAACTACCCTTTTATTTAATTTATTTTTTTGTAAAGTGATTGGTATAGGTTCATTCAAAAGAAGAATTGCTTCAAATTATGTCGGCTCCATGCTCAAAATCTTATCTTCTAGCCTAATTACAGGCTTTAAATCAAAACTTAGAGCTTGTTGCTCTGTAGTTTTCTTTCTCTGGGCATCAAGTTGTGGTGTGTAGATGTTGGAGAAATGCGCGCTCTGTGGGAACTTTGCACCCTCACAGGAATAAAACCATGCACCACTGTGTGTGACAGGGAACCAGAGGGACACAGGCTATCCTGCCCCACGGGTCCCTCTCTGGCTGTGCAAAGTCCTGGTAACTTTACCTCAGAGGTGGCCAGCAGCAGGTACGTCGTCCACAGCAGGAAGTAACAAAGTGCGGCTCTCATCTCCCTTTAATTTAGATTTAACCAAGAAAAAGAAAAAGATGCTATTCTGTAGGAGCCGCGGAATCGCTCCTGGCCCCACAGGATCCACAACCATCCCCTCGGGGAGAGAAACAGGGGGTGTCAGAGCTGCTCAGCGGGCTCTGTCAGACTCGGTGCTGCACTTGCTTGTGACTGTGAAAAGCTGAAGAGGCTGGAAGTTGACTCTCGTTATTCACATTGGACTACGTCCTCTTGAACAAGCTCTGTGCGGCAGCTCGGCATAGCTCCTTAGGCGCAAGTGGAACAATCCCAAGAGACAAGTCTGACGCGCATTGCACTTGTCCTTCACCCTCTTAAACAAATAGGCTTCAAACTTCAGCCCACTTTACTGATATGTAAATCAAGAAACGCAGCTGTTCGAATGAGACAGGATTAAGACGCACGGCTATTTTTCTATGATAGTATTTAATAGTCCTAAAAGAATATAATCCAAACGAGCAGATCCTCCGAGGAAATCACAAGGGAGAAAGCTGTCCGTGCTGTGCAATCCAGAGCCTGTCTTGCAGCAGTCGGCACAGGTCCTTGGTTGTGTAGGACTCTGAAGTGAATGGAGTCAGAGCGCCTCTGAGCAGCTGGATATAGAGAGCCAGTAGCTCCGTGCCCGTTGCGCCTCCCCTCGCGTTTCGGTGATCGTGCATCTATTCAGCGAGGGGAGCTGGTTGGCTGGTTGGATGACTTAAGACTCAAGAGCATGTCCCCATCCCCCCCTCAACCCGGGTGTGTGTGTGTGTGTGTGTGTGTGTGTGCTCCTCAGCAGAGAGCCCATTCAGAGACTCAGGCTGTAATTGATATTGATTAGCACTGATTGGAAAGGATGCAAAAAGTGACCATTAACTATATAAACTCAGACAAAAAGCGTGAGGATGCTGATGAAGATGAGTCCTCATTGTGAACTATTAGGGATTGAATAAAAAATGAAGGAAAGAGGAAGTCAGTAATGAAATGTATATTGAATCAGTAATGGTTTATGATTTCTGGATGTAATCTAATTTGGTAGATAGATTTAGCAGACAACAAATTTAAAACAATGATCATGTTACTGATGATAGTGGTGACTCATGATGCCTCATGATGATGTGATAGTACAAGCTCTCTTTGTTTATTTGAGTTTAAGAACCCATTAGTGTATTATGTCTGTAATTCCAATACTTATATGTGAAAAATCTAAAATGTATCCTAAAGAAAGCAAAACAATGAGGGTGATGACAATGACCCAATGCTGTCTTAACCATTTAACACCCATGTGTGGACATGATTTTTGGAACACAGGAAGCAACTACTTTACAGCAGTTTAACAACAGACTGGTCTTAACTTGCTGCGAGGAAGCTGGAGGCTGTGCGGCGCTGTGCTGGGAGGTCTGGGAGAAGAGCCTGAGGGCCTGATAAACGAGACATACCTACAGGAGCAGAGGCACAGACAGCATGCACACACATTATCAGCCAGAGGTGACAATCAGCAGGGAGCCATAGGTCAGCCAACCAGGTGGTCTGCCCTCCACCTTGTCCATTCAACTGGATCGCATAGCACAAGGCTGGCCTGAGGGCCTTGTGGCTGGAAACACTGCGTGGAGAAAGCACTGCTGCAGCTGGTGGAGTAATTAATATAACTATTTTAATAGGTCTATGAAGTTCATTTTAGGATGGTACCAGTGCTGTAAAATGTAATATTTTTATAATAAATGTCCCTCTGCTAAAGCCATTTATGTGACACGTTGCTCCTATTGAAGCCTCTTTGTTGATTTTTATTGCACTGCACTAATCATTCATTCCTCAGTTTAACACTGCATGAGTAATCGCACGCATTAAAGTATGTGATGCTATGGCAAAATGACTAAAACAGGCCAGTGACAGGCAGGTTCATCATCGTGAGGTTCGTGGCATTCAACAGGGCCACTGTGTCGTCATGGTTACGTCACACTCTCAGTGAAAATGCATGAATCACCTTTCTTGTAGGCGACTTCCCATCATGGTGCGAGAGTGGGAGTGAGAGGAGGACGCGAGGGAGCACGGCCCGTTGTAGGAGAGAGTGATTGTTTTTAATGTAAGGTGAAGAAGTGAGTAAAAGGAAAAATTAGCAGGTGAGGATGATGCGTCTTTCTCTCCTTCCTTCATTTGAATGTGTCTTTTGTGTTTTGACGGCTATCCTTATAAATGATACTTTAAGCCACATTATTATGGAGAAAATAAATCTTAAAGTTGAACTTGAGAGACAGAAAAGGGATGCACATGAAAGATGGAGAGGGTGGTGTGAGAGGAAGATAAAAAGAGAAAGGAGGCGACTGAACTGGGAAAAAGAGAGAAAAGAATCACTGGACCGACATTTTAGGGAGAGAAGAAGAAATTGAAACAAGAAATAATTTTCTCTTTCTCTACTCCCTCCTTCTTTTCTGCGTGAGCTATTAGGCAACATGTTTACTGGCAACTGAGGTCTGTGTACCTAACAACATTAACCCCATTAAATGGTTTTATAGATGCTGGTGCACAGTAAATCTAGCCATAAAGAAACTGCGGAGAGGACGTTCTCTGAGTGAGGTGATGACTCCCGTTCCCCACCCCCCCGGGCCACACATAGTTCCCAGTGAGAGAAGCGTAGGAAAAAGGGGGGAAATCTTCTAAGAATGTGGTGGATATGAGTTGCATTGCCTTTTGGGGATTAGAGTGTGCCTCCAGATGAAGTCTGCCTGTTCTCATCATCTATTTCCATGGTAAGAAGGAGTGATCATTTGGGAATGACCTTGGGAATCCAAATATCGTTAAGCCGAGACAGGAAGGTTTTTTACTCCTGGGTAGATTGTAATTGAACATAGTTTTGGAAAATTGTTGGAAAGTAGGATGATTATGGAAATGTATTTGTCCCATGTTGTGTACAGTACCTGTCTGGATATGTCATTAGACATCCTCCCATCTATAGTACTTTGGATTATTGTGCTTTATCATTTAGCCTGGTTTATTATTTAAACTTATATTTATAGACAAAATCTTAAAATAAAAGACAACATACCAGATTTAGGGATTCAACAATACAGGCCTACACTTATTTCCTTCATTGTCCCTAGTCTTTCACACTCCACCAACCTTTAACAAGATAGATATTGGCATTTCATTTTACTCAAGCTAATGAAGACCCTGTGAGGTCAGATCCTGTATGTGCTTTAAACCATTAATACACCCAACCCCTTCTCCTTGCTCTGAACTAAATTCAGTGGTGGAATGTAACTATGTACTGTACTTAAATACAATTGGAGGTACTAAATAGAGGTAACTATTCAATTTTACTTCATCTCAGAGGCAAATATTGTATTACATTTGTCTGACAGCTTTAGTTACTTTTCAGATTACAATTTCTTATAACCTTCTTGTCCAGTGAAAAGTCAAAATTTGGTGATACTGAATTAGATTTTTCTGATAAACTGAAGCATTAAGTGTTCCTCTATGGGTTGAGAAAAGTCAGTGTGGTATTAGTACTTTTACTCAAGTAAAGGATCTGAACACTTCTTCCAACATGTATAAATGTGCCTGGAAAATGTCTAATTTCTGTGATATTCTTTCATTATACATAAAGTGAAAGAGTCCTAACACCTATTGGATACTCTCAAAGCAAAAGGTCTGATATCACAGTACAGTAAGTGTTATAACACACACATTATCCTCCATAACCCCATCTCAACTTGATCCCAGTTTGCAGCTGAACTCTGAGCCTGCAAGAAAGCAAAAGAATCTCACACTTCAGTGTGCTGGGGAACCATAAAAAGATAGCAGAGCTGCCAATAGAAACTCGATATACTGATAGCCGCATATTCACGACAGTTATGATACCTGCAACTGTTATATTTTTTTTCCAGTGAAAGCTATTACAGAGTGGATTGCCTTGCAACCGAGAAACAAAAACAGTTCTTAACCTGGTGTCTCCCCCACCACCACCCAGCCATATCATGAGCATGCATGAGTCACGGACACAAGGAGCAGGTCCTTTGCAGACTACTGACTGATCTCCTCCCTCCTCCTCAGGGTGGAATTAGGCTCCACTAACTAAAGCCCTAACTAGCTCATCAGTGTCTATGATGACAAAGTTGATTCCATTAGTGGGTTGTGTGTTGATGTTTTTAGTGCGGAGCTGTGTGTTATTTGACACAAGCTCATGTCTTGTAATAGGCCCATTAGAAACAGCGGTAACATTTATGGTTGGGTTACTCATGTACACACAGACACAAGGGCAAGTAATTCAGGTGAAATTTCCCAGGAGCAAAGGTACATTCCACAGGCTGGTAGCGATATAGATTGGACTTGGAAATTATCCAGAGCAGAGTGCATATCCAGGGCAACCTCTTCACGCATAAACAAGCAGCCACTCTTACTGCTTGTTCACTTGAATATTAAGCAGTGGAGGGAGGCCAAGTACAGCAGCCATACTTACAACTGATCCTAGACGCAGCTGCTCTTTTATAGGGACGATTACTGGCAGCCATTTACAGGCCTTCATCTCTCTAACATGCATAGCGACCTGAATGGAGTGCTCTGTGGGGCCTCCCAGCACCTCTCCGGACCCCTTTTCCTTGGCACTAGGTGTGCAGGCATTCACAGGGCACAATGCCTAACTGCTCTTTCAGAAGTCAAAACTGCGTAGTCAAGTCCACCTCTGGGATCAAAAATTACGCCACATGCACACATAAATGTGAAAAGCTGGTGGAACAAGGTATGCAAAGGCAAACTTCCAGCTGCAACACATTACACATTAGAGCAGCACACTTCAGTTGTTAAGGGACCGCGGCATCCTCTCTGTGTGATCTCCAGATCTGTCAAACTGCGGTCTGTTCTTGTCATAACTCTGCCTTGACTTTTTCACTCAGTACTCCTCCATGAAAGCCATCCTTAGAAAGAGAGAAGTAGGTGTTCGGTGTGAAGGTGAAATGACAGAGAGAAGAGAAAATTTGCTGGAAGAAATCAGAGTATGTCTGTATGTGTGTGTGTTTTCACGTTCCTTGCAGCCTCAGCATCCAGTTCCAGCGGGTGCCAGGGTTTGACCCTGTTGTTTAGGTCAGAGATGGAGTCCTGACTGCAGCCTCCGACCTCAACAGTGAGCGCGAAGCAGCAAACAGCAAGCCTCAGCTGCAGGTGTCGAAAGAAACACAAAGTCAGACTTGTAGCTCAGGTATGAATAGACCCACACATGCATTCTCTCATACACTCACACATTAACTGTGGGAATCTACTCTGAACAAACTCATGCACTAACACTTACACACCTGCATTCTCTCATGCGCATTCTCCAATTTCCCCAAATGGACAGATAGACAGACATGAAGCAATTCGGGCACAAGTCCTTACATGCAGTTCCCTGTTCCCCCTGTCCCAGCTCCTTTTCCCCTTAAAACACTGCCTCTTTATTCTCTATGAACACACAAAAAAAAACACTCTCCCTTTTTCCACACACACACTCACACAGAAAACAGGGGACTTCCAGCCACTGAGAAATAGCAGCGTAATTGCCGGTGCTCTGTTGTCTATCAAGACCTGACCTTTTCAACATGTGTGTGCCGTGTTGGGAGCAGTGGGAACTGGCGAGGAGGAAGACAGGGGTCTCCCCAGCTCAGT